ACTCCTAAATACTTATAAAAGCTCTTACGTTCAAGAATATCGTTATCTAAATAAACATCAAAGTTTAAATTAGAGTCAATTTGATTAAGTTTCATATGAGTTCCAAATACCACATATTTGGTTTTCTTGGGGTGGATGTAGAGATCATTTAACTTTGACCAATCAGCAAGGTTTTTAAGCTCGTTGTTTAGCTTTTGAGTTAACTGAGCCATGTTTGGGGCAGAGCAGTAAATAACGGTATCATCAGCATTTTAGTGTTTTGTAAACAATTCGGAAGATCTGAAACATAAAGAGAAAACAACAAAGGGCCTAATACGGATCCTTGTGGTACTCCAGAAACCATAACTTGAGGATCTGACAATGAACCACCAAGAAATACTTGGAGAGACCCCCATCTTTTCTTTATTTGTTGCCGTCATGATCGATAAAAATTCAATAATTTTCACCAAAACGGCAGATATTTTTTCGTACAGTCAGAATACATTAATAAAAAGCACGTAAAAAGAGACAATACAATTTTGTGCAGGAAAATAACCAATAACTTGTATTTCCATAGCGTCAGTCATCACAATCGATAACGATTCGTTTTTCCGAACTTCAAACGAAAACTGGTAACGACCTCGTAGTGCAGAGAATCATGGGGAGGTTAACATCAAAGTGATGTTCAGCAGTCTTCTGTAAAGTTCGTAAAGACGAATCATATAAGGATTTTCTTGTGATAAAGTAGGCATCTCATTGTCCATAAAATAGGATGTAGAGTTCGAGCGAAAGGGTTAGAAATTTGTAGACACCTTTTAATTACGCACTAGTAAAACTATATTTCGTTCAACTGATTTAAATCTCACTAGAGTTTCTGACGGGTGAATAAGGATAGTTTTAAATAAATGATTGGCATTTATCAAAACTTGAGAAAAAATTTAGTGTAAGAACAGATTTCAAAACGTTAAGACATGGTCTTGTCTTTCTTGCAGCGTGAATGGTGTTCAGTCATTCCAAAAAATAATTTTCAGAACATTTCTGTTCTAGTTCTTTATTGTAATAAAGGCAGCCACATGTGCAAACGAAACGTTACGTCTTCTATTACTATGTCAGGTATCTATCCCACGTGAAAGCCTCAAAAGTAGTTTTGTTCTAATCGATGCAATGGACCAAATGCACTTGGACGTAATGTTTTCTCATTTCAGACCACGTGCCATTCTCTAGAATATCATTTTTTCATTTAACAGTTGAACATGAGAAGACACATGAATTTAGATACAACTCAAACAGACTCTTATTCTCAAAAGAATGACATGTGGTATGAAATGGAAAAACCTTACGCCCAAGTGGATTTGATCCATTTAAAATCTAGTATCCTTTTTCTTTTATTCTTTTAAAATGACTGAAGACCACCTTTAGCAAAAGAAAATTAAAGGTTTCCTTTGAGATAATACGGTAAATAACTTGAACACATAAGGCATGTGAAGGAAAAACTTTGGAATAAGAATTTTTAAAAGAAGGGTCTAGGGCGAGGACCAGGGAATGGTAGCCTCGGCCTCTGGTCCATATAATGTTCGTCGTATCCTTTAAAAGAATTTCTTCTTGGAGGTGGAAATCTTTCATGAGGGAAAGGATTTTCTTGCTCTATGAATCGAGGGGGTAAATGTTCCTCTCTCTCGTGGAATTCGTTAGGGGGTCTTCCTCTATCTGGGCGTGGTCCTAAATGGGGGTCCCGATGAGGATCCCATGGGTCTCGCTCTCTCCAAACTTCTCGATTTCTGTCCATTGGAACTCTTTCGTCATGTGGAAACCGAACAGGTCTTCCTGGTTCAGGATAAGGCTGAGGATGGCCTTCTTCCATCATTGGTCGTTTCAATGGGGGCTCCCCCATTTCCATTGGTCCACCGTCACTATGGGAACGCTGAAATCCTCTAGGGCGACCATCTTGAGGTGGTGGCAATGGTCCTCTTGGGCCTTCTGGTCCACGCCATCTGGGTTGTGGAGGTCCATCGATTGGAGAATGTCGAGGGGACCCTCCTGGTCTTCCATAGACATCTGGTGGTCCTGGAGGACGAGGGTTTCCATGGGGGCCATCGAAGTGGAAATGAGGCCTCTGATCTTCTCTAGGCATTCCATGGGGTGGTCTTCTGTCTGGAGGCCCTACACCTACAAACGAGCCCCTAGGGGACCTTGGAGGTCCATTCATTGGAGGCTCTTCTGTGCGCACGTTTAGGGGAGGACCTCTCTCCATAGGGTATCCACCAGGACCACCTGGTGATGGTCTGCTTGGAAATGCACCTCTTGGTGAATGTAACTGATGAGGGCTTCTCTCAGGACCCGGTCTGTATTCTTCTCTCATTCCTTCAGAATCCATAAACTCAGCCTGTGATGATGGCCCAAAGGGTCCGCCTGGCGGCCCTTCAAATGGCAGTGGAGGACCAGGAAAACGAGGACTATGACCAGGACCCTTGAGTGGTGATGAAGGAGGTATATGTGGTCGTTCTGGGTACTCTCTAAATGGCGGCCTTGGTGCCCCAGGATGTCCCTTAAATGGCACATTATCCCAAGGCTGTCTGACAGGTCCTTCAGGGGGACGAATACCATAGGGTCTCATTTGTCCTTCTTGAGGATGTCCTGTAGGAGCATGATAATGTCCTTTGAAAGGACCTTTATGTTCAATACTCTTATCTGTTTGTTCTAAAGATCGTCCTTGACCGTGCATTCCTGTATCAGTTTCATGGTCGTTATCATCTTCCATTGAGTTGATCTCAATCTTCTGTTTCGGCGAACCTTCTTCAGATGTTGATGTTGATGTCTCATTGTCCTTTTCTCGCTCACGTAAAGTTTTCAAAGAGTCAGTCAACTTTGGGAACAATGAATCAATAAGAGAGAAAAGTGGTTTTTCTGGTTGAGATTGTGGCGGCAGTTGTTCAATCACTTCTTCTTTAGGAGTAGAGGCCTCGGATGGTGCATCAACGTCTGGTATCTGTTCCTTCAACTTTCTTCCACGACTTATCAGCTGAGCTAAAATATTCACTGCACTAACCGGCTTTGATGACTCATTAGTATGGTTTGGTGTTACAGAACCTGTGGATGCACTACTGCTGCTCTCAGATGGTAAATTAGCTGCTTTGGATGTATTACTCTCTGGCTGACTTGACATAGATGGGAATTCCAGGATCTTGACGTCTGATATTCTCTGTGGAGAGGCTGTCTCAGGTGTTTCATCCCCTCCCAGTTCCAGCTCAGGGGAACCGACAGGTGATGGTGCTGACATTTCAGAGCTTGGTGAATCCATACTCTCTCGTCTACTATCTGTGTTGTCAGATGCATCAGTTGATGGTATATTCGTTGGTAGTGGTCTACTGCCTACTTCAGTCATGGTTGATGGGTGAGTAGTGGTATTGGATACCTGTGGTGCAGCAGATGATACGATGGTGGTGGTGATCTGGCTGACTGTTTGTCCAGGTCTGGCTTGAACTGGTACTTCCTGTACCGAAACCTGAGGTACAGATAAGCTGTGTTGAAGTTGTTGAGGTAAATTTGTCATAAGACCAATATTCTGCCCTGAAAATGAAGCCTGTCCAGGCAGAAGCCCTGGCATGGCTGTCTGCATGCTTCCTGGGAAGGTGCTCATACCACCATGCATGGCCATACCAAATGGTACCATTTGCTGGTGGTATTGAGATTGCATATGCATGAACTGGCCAGTACCATGCATACCAACTGGTACCATTGATATTCCATGTTGACCAGGAATAAACTGCATATTTGGCTGTGGTATTACCATTTGTTGTGGTACTGCTACTTGGACTGACATTGCTGAATCGGTACTGAACGCCACAGATGTATTCGAACTCGGTGTCTGTGAAGCTGCAGTTGTCATGGCAAAATGGGGCTTAACAGTGTTATCTGATTTTACAACCTCTGATGTCTTACTTTCAGTAGAAGGGGTAGAAGCAGCTTCTGAAGGTGTCTCACTTGTTTCGCCATTTTCACTATCGCCGTCCTCCTCAATGTCCATGTCTGCTACCTCAGTATTATCTACCGTTGTATCGGCCACCTGTTCTGTCTTGTCTCCTTCCTCTGTTGTATGTGGTGGTGTTGATGAAGGAGTGGTGCTCGAGATATCAGGTAAGCCAGAAGTAAGAAAAGAAGCCTGAGGAGTAGTGATGGGACCCATTTTCTTCTTTTGTGCCTCAGCATTTATAATTTTAGCAACTTTATGGTCGACTTTTTTCTTGAGAGAGTTAAGACGATTACCAAATGTTTTGTATGCCTGAAATGAATGAAAACAAAATGAGACACAAAAATGTTACAATAAAATTAAGAATAATAAATGTAAAAAATATCTGCTGGAAAACCTACAGGTAAAGATTTATCCTGTCAAGTTTACAAGATATAAGGGATTGGCTGAGGACTCTCGGCCAATGAGAAGCAAGGTATGGAGTAAAATGTATAATGATAGTAGTTATTAGGTAAGCATGGAACAGTAGTACTGTATGCATTGCTAATGCCGCTGCTTCTCACTACCATGACTTAATCTGTGGGCTCACTGTCTTACATACACTCAATTGAAGAATCGTTGTCGGGTTCAGAGACATAGAACATAAAAGCTGAGACCAAAATAGCACATGGGAAATGACATAATCATATTATAATTTATTCATTTGCACCATCCATGCAGTCTGTTTAGAATGCCAAATGCGTATTAAAAACAGTGTGGATGATGCAACGGGTTGTCAGTCACAGCATGCATCTAATTAACGTACTTCCCATGTGCAATTTCGGTCTCAACTTCTATGTTCTATGTTTCTGAACCCGACAACGATTCTTCTTTTTTTTTTTTTTTCCACAGCTTTATTTGGGAAAACTAATATTACAATGTATTGAATAGAAAAAAAAACTAATAGTTACCCAAAAAGGAAAGTCACGAACGGGACACGAGACCCATGCAAGGTGACCACCTCATGAATTGTTGAAATAATTAAACATAAAAAAATATGCAAAAAATATAACATTGTACGTAAAAATAAAAATAAGAATGGAAAAATAACTTCWTTAAGATAAAACTAGTGTACTTTATGAGGTTAACCTCTATGACAGGGACATTCTCGAGAAGCAGACCAGGTACAAGACCTGTCAATATCAAAAACAATTGAGTGTATGTAAAAATCATACATATAAGATGAAAATAGTGTAGAGGGCTATGTTAATATTTTGAATTCAAAATAATTTATTTTGATAAGCAGGTAATTTATCAGGCCAAAGGTTACTGTATATTTGATCTTTTAAAACCCAATAATTTCGAATGGACAGGAAAAAATCAGCTATTATTTAGACTTGTTAAAGTATCATCATCAAATGTGTTGTCCAGACAAAATATAAATCGTTTACCAGTCCATTTGTCATATTTACTGGACATTTTCTTGATGACCAGCACAGATGACCATTCCCAACCTTGACTTAATGTTTAATGGTTACACACGAGAAAACAAATCAATATGGATCTAGAGCTCAATGAAATGAGGAGAATAAAATGTGGTCTGGAATGGGAAAACATTAACTAAAAAAAGCTTTATTTTTAAAGTGCTACTCTGACGAAAATCGCTCAAACTTGGATTCAGCTGGAACTTCCTAAGAATACTCTTTAAAGGTCCAATAAATCACTGTATGAAGTGTTTTCTCGATATTCAGGACGAAAGTATGATATTCTTACGTGAGTCTGTGACCTCATAAACTCAACATCGAACATCGCTCCATACATTTCTTTGTAGTTTATGATCAAAATATCAGTAGTAAAGCCGAGAAAGAAATACCCAAACAACCCAAAATATCAATTATAGTCACAAGTAACGTGAAATAAGCACATTAGCCACCCTTTGGGCTTCATAGGAATAAAATAAATTAAGAATTTATATACAAAGAAATATATGTAGCAATGTTTGATGCACTTCATACAGTGATTATTGGACCTTTAAAGAGTATTCTTAGGAAGTTTCAGCTGAATCCAAGCTTGAGTAATTTTCATCAGAGTAGCACTTTAAAGATAAGTGTTACTTACATGAACAATGACTTTAACTTCACCAAATGCGGAATCATAAAAGGACTTCCCATCATCAAGGAATTGTATCAACTTGCTTATCTCTTCTTTTTCTTGTTTTAGTGTCTCACAAAAGCTTTCAAGCTTTTCTGAAGCTGCTTCATACTCGGATGTAAACTTTGCTCCTGTTGCTCGGTCTAACAATGAAAAGAAAACAAAATACTAAGAATTAGTATTGGAAATACAGTAACACCTTAGTTTCAAATAATTAAAATTAAAATGTCAAATGATACATCTGACATAAAATATGCATTTCTGAATTAAAAAATGATAGCAAATTCCGAATAACACAAGTACAAATTGCCCTATTTCACTATGAGGTCACATCAAAACAATCTATTGTTTAAACGCAAAGGATCATGGTCGTCGGAGGGGGTCAAATCAACGCAAATTCACCAAAAATTGTTCTAAAACCCGTATCAATCCACAAAGAGAAGTAGAATAGCCAGCAAATGCTCAGATTATTTTTTAGTACATATTAACACATATTATATCTGAAAACCAGGCCATTTTAGATTAAACTGTTTCACTAGGAGCAAATTTTGTTGAATTTTCTATTGGGTCCGGTGATTCTATCCCCCACATAAACAAGCAGTGACGTCATAGTGAAATAGGGCAACTGCATAATGCTTTGCATTTCAAACAACAAAATACACTGAAAAGTTCTGGGATGTGTGGATCTAATTAATTGCACAGATTTTGAATAAAGAAAAAAATTCTGGCCAATTAACCAATCAGAAACATGTATTTTATGTAGATGTGGTAATTAAAGGTAAAAAAACCTCCAGCCCCACTTTTACAGGAAATCCAATATGCACAACTAAAAAAATAACAGTCGGTTGAGAAAACATCAAAACAAAAATTCCTACCTGGCCAAACATTTCTTAGACCAGCTCTCTTATTGAACTGACAGATATGTGTGGCCATCATGTTTGGCCATTTAATAGCCATTATATTCAGCCCTAATATGACCGTTCTATACAATAATATGAATATTATTGTATGAAAAGCAAATGTGTGCACTCTGAAAAGTGTAATTGATGTCTGTGTGGCATAGCAATTATACACGTAGCAGTTGCTTTTTGCTGATAGTGGTTAAAGTGATAATCTTGAAGATATTGGTCCTTAAACTACTCTGTAAGTTCCTGTAAATTGTGGGCTGTAAGTCAGGGTATTGCTAACACACAGATCCAACCCTGAAACAATCTCTGGGCTGATCTAAGTCAGGGCATGGCTAACACACAGATTGACTAGGGATTCAGCATGTTCACTAAAGCTCACCATTACCTTTTAGTTGTTTAATGGCTTCCATGTCTGAGGCATCTATTCTCAATGAATTTAGGTGCGATTCTTTTAACGTCACCTCAGCCTGGAAATCCCTCATGGCTTTAAGAGTATCAATCAATTGTTGTGGCTAAAACAAGCAAAAAAACTGACACATCAAATAAAAAACTAAAACAAAACAAAATAAATAAATAAATGTAGGAAATTGCATGATCTCAATTATAATTCGGAATTTATAGGTACGAGTGATGTTATGAATTTTTTTATTAAAATTGGACAAGCCTTTAGGCAAGTTCATTTTGAAAACTTTCAAAACATCACAAGTATCTATAAATTCCAAATAAGCCTAAAGCGAGATGACGTTTTACCCCCGACTCTATACCATAATAGTTTTTAAAATTGTTTCATATTAAGATTTTTGATTCCTTAGAGAATACAGGAACAATAGTCATAATTAAAGAACAAAAGCAGTGTGAAAAGGATTATGGTCTAGAGACGGGGTAAAAAGTCATCTCGCTTCAGGCTTATTGTAAGAGAAGATTGTGCAATTTTTTGTTTATAATACGCTCAAAAAAGTGCGCAAATTAATTGGGACTCTACAGAGTACAATTTGGGATTTAATTGTACTCTTCTTGTCCAATCAGAATCAAGTAATTTTGTTGAGTGTATTATAAATATATAAATTAATTACACACTTAGGGTCAATAAGTGGAGTGGGGTAATACAATATCACTTCGCGGTTAACTAGAAACTGTACATTTTGTTATGGTATTGATCCTAAATGTGAGATTAACAAACTATTACATAGTCTTTTATAACTTCAATAAGTTTAATAAATAAATAAATGCCAACAAAACCAAATTTTCACAACAATAACCAAAAATATTATGACAATTACAGAGAATAAGAAAAATGTAAATAACATCAAACTAAAGAAGTTATTTATCGATTTATTTATTTGTACCTTGAAATCTGCAGGCGGCAATCGTTTTTCAGTTTGATGATGTGATATATGTCTTTCCTGCTCGACTGGTGTTCCCTCACTGTTACTATTACTTCTCTCTCTTCGTTTAGGGATCTTCGAGGGTTTTGACTGTAAAGATTCTAAAACAAAAAGGTTCAAAACTATGAGATAACAGAATCTGTTTATAGTTCTATCTACTTAATCCATCAGTAACCTCGATTTTTCAGAATTCGCGACTTTAAATATCATATTTTTTCGATCCTATCATGAAACTTAATATTACTCACCGAATTTCCTTTGTAAGCTTTCCAGGAAATCCTTTTCAAATACTTTCCTTTCCTGCCAAATCTTCATCACTCGCTGCACGGAGTCAACGATCTTCTTCTCGCTAAAGGAAAATGCGATGTGTTAGAGATGAATTACCACAACGATAGAAGCACAGAACTTGTCAGCTGTGCTCTTACCATAGTAGCGGAATAACCTCTTTCAGAACTGTACTAAACGCATTAGAGAACTCCTTTCCTTTCTTTCTGCTGTTCTGTAGTACATCGTTAGCTAAATATAACATGATTAGCCGGCGATCGGGATTACCTGCGACACATAAACACAACAGATCTATCAGACATAACTTGGTACTATCAAAACATGACCACACAACTCAACCACTTCACTACATGTGACTCCAAACAAAATGCAATTCCTAGCCGTACATCTCTTTAACTGCTCCATCCACACTTTCACGATGTCGTTGGCGTATTTTTTGTGGTGTATGATCCATAGAGACACGGTTTGCACACTGTCTTGGGCAGAAGACATTTGTTGAAGTTTACGTTCAAAACCTTTTTGATTGAGCAGCGCCATTTTGATTCCAGGTGAGCTGCCTGCACAACACTAGTGCGCCTGCTATCTACCATTAACCACTGACCCGTACCAACGCTGTCTCATACCGGCGGTACATTCACCAAAAATACTAAAATTTCAAATTTTATTTCGACTAAAATTTCCTTTCAACTTCGAGATCATTGAGACTTAATTTATTGCTCTTTAAATAAATAAAGTATGATTTCTCTTTTATGAAATTAATTTGGAAATTTGTTGGATTGTCCTTCTAAGTGGCATTAAAAGAGTACCGTCTAGACGGTGGTACATTTGACCAAAAATGCAGTAAAATTACAAAAGAAGTACATTCCTTACGTCAGTGATTTCGGAGTATTCCTTCACCTCATTTAAGAGGATCCCTTAACCTGATTTAGGAGTAACCCTTAACCTGATAAAGGAGTATCCCTTAACCTGATTTAGGAGTAAGGGACAGGTGAAAAATTAGAGTGGGGTAGGGCTGGTGCAAATGGGGGGAGGGTTATTATTTTTCATGCAGGCTAAAAGGGAGGGCCAGAAAGAATTGTGCAAGTCTTAAGAGGAGGGCCAAACTTTTTTGTGCATAAAAATTAGGTCAAAAGAAATGTAAAAAATGAATGATGCTGTCACTGGATCAAGCTGATAGGCGCGTTAGGAGCTTTGTAGAACACTTAAAACTGCTTTACTGAAGAAAGAAAAAAGAAARGAAGACAAAGCTGAAAAGAAATCTGCAGAGGCAAGAAAAAAAAATAGGAAGACTACAACTGGATTGTTATGGCTTGATGATGGCTCTTTAAGCAAACAAACTGTAGCTGTCCTAGATGAGTATTTAAAGATTCATCAACTGCAGTGCCGTGGTGAAAGGAAGGTTAAACTAAATACAGTTCAGAGGCATATCATACACAATCTGCACTAGTGCAGTGGAACAAAATAGACGGGACAACTACAGAGAGCCTGGCAGTGACACTGACACGGATGGGAGTGCAGAATCTGGATTATCTTCTGAAAATGAGGATTGTGAGGAAGAACAAATATTGGCTGAACTTTGCTCAGATACTGATGGAGAAGAAAAAAGTGGTGATGATAGAGATGACACAGAAGAGTTTGATAGTAGAATGACAACTACTGTGACAACAAGATCAGGAAGACGTGCAACTCGTTTACTGCTATATTAAAAACAAGGTCAGCCTAAATTATGGGGGAGGGGAGGGCAAGAAAAAATTGTGCAAGTATTTAGGGGAGGGCCAAATTTTTTTATATATAAGGAAAGGGAGGGCCACTAAAAACTATACTGGCCAAAAATAAAATACATCCTTTCACTGGATGTGATCTAATTCACGAGGTCCTTTCACTGGATGTGATCTAATTCA